AACTTTGTAGTATTGTTTCCACATGTATAAATCATTTATCAGAGCTATTTTGAAGCTCGATGAGCTAATATCATCGCTTCTATGCGTCTAAATGTTTGGTGAATATCTTCTGGGGACATTGTCGTGAACTCCTTTATGGCAGATCTGAAACCAGCGAAAATTCCACCTGGCACAATGTGTTTTAGACAAATTTTAGCCGTTTTGGTTGTTTCATCATATTTCATTTCGCAGATTTCGAATAATGTGTATGGCAAGATTATTACTTCAGCCTCATATCCGTACTCTGATAAATTAGTGTCTTTGGTTGGAGCTAGATCAATTGCGGACTTACACGTTTCAAGAAAATCGTATTGAATTAATACCATGTATATGCGCTCATCCGAATCGCTTGGGACGTCCGGCGGATTGAAGAAGCCTTCGGCTACATTTTGGCATTTCGAGCTTGATTGAAATACTTTGTTCATCAACGCAAAACCTCTGTGTTTCGATAGAGACCAATATGCAGATAACTCTTTCTTAGTCAATCTCATCCCACGATAAGTCTGACCTTTGTAGAATCTTGGGCGTAGTTGGGATAAATTTCTATACAGCAACATTGTGAATGCTGAACATTTACTGTCATCTCTTAGTGCGGAATAGAATGAGCTCTGGTGGGTGTATAGTGATAGCAACCAAGTAATTTTTCTGCTGGTTTTATATTTCTGTAGCAAGTACTGAATATCTTCATTTTCAAGATCTCTCTCTGTCAGAGACATACTGATTACATAATCCATCAGTGTATGCAAAGCCAAACGTTTTAAGCCAAATAATCGGTGAAAGAGGTTAGATCTAAGAGTTGTACTGAGTACGAGAGCTGAATGCTTATCAAAATTGTTGAAACTTTCGATCCACTCGTTACGAATGAAATCATCACTGCCATCTAGCTCAGGTGTTTCCTCATTATCTTCATTCAAAGTGATGATAGTAGTTTGCGAATCTTTGCTAGCTACTGGTGTAGATGTAAGTTGAAATGTTTCGTTGATACCATCATCAATGAATCGACATACGCCACGCTCATCTCTTGGACGATGGAATAAGGCTTTAACATCTTCTGTCAATGCTTCGTCGTACGGCGTCAGACCATACGAATTCAGCTTCGATCTAAGACAACCATGTTGTAATAAAAGCCGAACAATTTCAGTGCGCCCTGTGTATGAGGCAACATGGAGGTAGGTACTTCCATTGTGTTGTATTTGATTAAGCTGCTGCCATGTCATAGTGGGTAAAATTCTTCTAACATAATCTAAATCTCCTGTTCTACACGCGAAATAAAATGCATCTGCATCTCCTTTAACTGGATGCTTACGGATATGTTCTTCTTTACTAACTATTATACCCATGATGATCTACCAGTACAAGGTGAAATAAAGACCAGTTTTTTGGAAAGGAATAGATGAAAAATAGTTGGCAGAGCCTCATCGGACAATCGAGGATAAGCGACAGTGCATGGGGAAAAGGGTTACTTTTCTTGTGGGTGAAGGTCACCTCCGATCTCAATGGAAAGTGTTTTACTCGATTCTTCTCATTAAGGCGCATCGAGTTATGTCAGTTTCAGAACGATTCAAACGTATTTAATTTTCCATTTTCAGTCACAAAACGAGGAACTGCGGGATATCTCTCCTTTCTGTTCCTAGATCCGCTACATCGTGTAAAACTTTCCTCATTCTACTGCAGAGTGAGATTTTCGTTCATTTTTTCTTGTGCGTGCGCAAAATCCCTCTTTGTTCGATAAACATAGAAAAACAAATCTTACTTTGCGGTCGAATGGGCAAATTTTTAACGATGTGGCGGACCCAGGAACAAAAAGGAGAGATATCCTGCACTTCTTCGTTTTGTGACTGAAAATGGAAAATTAAATACGTTCGAATCGTTCTGAAACTGACACAACTCGATGCGCCTTGATGAGAAGAATCGAGTAAAACGCTTTCCATTAAGATCGGAAGAGACCCTCACCCTCAGTTTACTCACCCTCAGTTTACTTACATTCGAAAAAACACTTCTG